TGAGCAAGGCCCATAACCCCCATCTGCTCCTTAAAAAGGTCTCCCTTGAAAATGAATTCTCGTGGCTCAATGAGACTACCTGTATAAATAAAGGCTAAATGAAAAAAAATATTAGACGAGGAAAAATATAAGGAAGAAATCAACTTTTAGAGGAAAGGCAAAGAAAGGAGCTTGAATATCAAAAACGTGAGTTAGAAAGACTAAAGGCTGAAAAGGAGTTGAAGGCTGCATGAGCTAGAACAGGGGTGGGCAATTATTTTTTCCATGGGGCCACATGAGAAACAACAAATATTGTGGAGGGCCTGCACAAATGACTTTTTCATTCAACCTTTATTTAGACAGGTAAATCCCATTGAGCCTCGAGGACTCATTTACAAGAGAGACCTGATTTCAACTTAACTCAATACTGCATAATAATAGTATTTCATTATTAAAAGCAGTACATAGCACTGTTTTAACAAGCTGGTAAGAGTATTTGTTATGATTAAGCAACGAAAAAGCGCGGTTTCCTTACAAAAAAGTCATTTATTCAATTAAATTTCCCAGTACAATGGTAAACTGTTAACATTTTTACCATTTGTGACGTTATATTAATGATCATTTTCAGTCACATTCACCCCAAAACTCATTTTGAGTTTTATATACTGCTGGAAAAAGTTCTTAGCTTTGTAAATATATCACAATATTGTCTTTGTACTTCAAATATTATGAAACATCATATAATAGTGATCGTCACTGAACTGTGATTTCGAGTCCCGGTTCTTTACGTGCCTACATTTGTAGTCTAAACATCTCATTTGGTGTTTTTCAGTTCTTTTTTCTTGTTTAGTGAGAGAAGTTTAGTCTCTGTTGGGCTTTAACGGAAATGTTAAAGTCAGGTTGAAGGTCTAAGGTGGAGATGTGAAGCAAAGCTGACATCATCAGTGAGAGAGGATCTATATCTGGATTTGGTTAACTTCATTTGTTTACATATGTATTTTGTAATTCCCCTTACGGGGGCCGGTCAGAGTCAACCAAAGGGCCGCATGTGGCCCTGGGGCCGTACAATGCCCAGGTCTGAGCTAGACTAATGACTTATGATCAGGAAATAAATGGTAAATGGACTGTACTTATATAGCTCCTTTCTATCTTATCAAGATACTCAAAGCGCATTACACAACAATCTGTGCCTCATTGACCCATTCATACAGCACTCTACTAGATCTCTGCAAAGCTAATTGAACAAATCATTCTAAAGAGACTAATCAGTGATTTATCACATTCATACACCGATGGGACACACATCAGAGGCTATAAGAGGTTCAGTGTCTTGCCCAGGGACACTTCAGCATGTGACTGCTGTTGGATTCGAACCCCCCAACTCTCGCATTGGAGGACGACTGCTCTAACCACTCAGCCACAGCCGCCAGCAGTGTTCACACTGTTGACTTTAGCAGAGCAGCTCAGAAGGCCCCCACAGTTTCTGCTCCCATTCAAGTTCCTAACAGTAATGTAGTCACCTCATCTCCACAAGCAGGTGTCTTTTATTTAGCCCAAGCAGTACAGGACAGTGTATCCATGGACAGATTGCCAATGCCAGAGCCCTTCAAGTTCACAGGTGACCCAATACAGTTCAATGAGTGGAAAGCTTCATTTGCTGCACTCATCGATAAAAGGAACATCTCACCTGCTGACAAGCTGCACTACCTTAAGAAATATGTAGGAGGTTCAGCTCAACAAACACTTGATGGGATCTACAGAAACGACAGTGACACATACAGAATGCATGGGAACGCCTCAACCAAAGGTATGGGCATCCATTTGTTGCACAGAAAGCGTTCAGATAAAGGCTGGCAAAATGGCCAAAGATACAAACAAAGGACTCTACAGGATTTAGGTCATTTGCTGATTTCATTCAAACATGTCAAAACAAGAGGCTATGCCACACATCGAAGGCTTAAACATTCTCATCAATTGTGAGGAGAACCAAAAACTTGTTCAAAAGTTACCAGACTGGGCAGCTGCGAGATGGAATCGTCAAACTACGCAGTTCATGAAAGAAAGTGGAAAGTTTCCCAATTTAAAGCATTTTGCAGAGTTTATATCCTTAGAAGCAGAAATCGTGTGCAACCCAATCACATCATTTCAGGCTCTCCACTCTACAGACTTTACTACAATCACTGGTAAAAGTTACCAAAAGGAAAAAAGGCCCACCTTCAGTGATCTACACACAGAGACTGAAAACACAAATCAAAGGTCAAAAATGTTAAACCACCATGCATGCTCTGTCAAGACAATGGACACAAACTTCACAATTGCCCACAGTTTAAAGGCAAATCACTTGAAGAACGAAGGAAATACATAAAGGATAAAAAACTGTAATGGCTGTCTCAAACCCGGACACAGTGCAAAGGACTGTTGTTACAGACTTGGCTGTGAAGTGTGTAAGAAAAAACAACCCACATGTCTGCACGACTTCAACTATGACAACGATAAATCAGCTATATATCCAATTCAGACCAACACAGAACAGGCTACAACTACCATGCCTCTCAAAGCAGAAACCAATGAACAGTACATATGCACGTCCATGACTGTACCAGTATGGGTTTCGTCAGAGCAACATTCAGGTACAGAAAAGCTTGTTTATGCATTTTTAGACACCCAAAGTGACAGTGTTCATTGACCAAGATGTGTGTAATAGTCTTAAAGCTAAGTCTACCCCAATAAGGTTAAGGCTCACTACAATGCATAGTAAAAATGCTATTATGCCAAGTGAACGTGTCTCAGGTCTCTAAAGCCTGGTATCCACAGGTCTGGTTCTTGTTGTAGCCTGTTGTGTCCGGTTCTAGTGGGACCTCTATTTTTGTGTCTCCACTTTGCCTATAGTTCCCGTTTAGTGGGCGGATTGTTCACCTCTAGTGGGCGGATTATTAATATCAACGCACCTTACCAGCTGGTGGCGGTAGTGCTACATTAAGCTCTTTTCTAAGCACCACTAACATGTATTAGAAGAAGAGCTGGAAAACAACACACAACCAAAATGGATGACCTCGATGACCTTGAAGCAGAACCAGCCGCACAGCCCGTCCTGGTCTCTGTCCCACAAGATGGAGAGCAGGGCCGAGGTGTCAGAGATGCTCTGATGGAGTACCTCATGAGCTGTAACTTATCCTAATTCCACCCCTTAATCTTTTTTACCTCCCCAGCCTTCCTTAGATACAAGTGAACGTTAAAGTGTTGATTTGAAAATAAACATGGATTAATAATTATTCGTTTGTTTAATGTACAGACATGCCTTATTACCAGGTTCGTGTAAAAATGGCAAAACAAACACTGCTGCTGTGCTTCTATCACATATGCTGCGTTTTTTAGTGGCTGTAGTTTTAGAAAAACTGTATACTCCTTAATTTTTGTTTTTAACAAAGAACCAAAACCTACAACAAGAACTTTATATTTGTTTATGCATATACACATTAATCTATTTTAATATTTATATATATATATATGTCTTCAGCCAGAGACTTCTTCAGATCCCTTGTAAGACAGACGCTACAAGAGATCCTTCCTGCCCACAGCATCAGCATCTAGAACAACTCTTTAATGAAACCAGGATGATGAGTTACATTTAATTTCCCTCTGGGATTAATAAAGTCTTTTTGTAATTTGATTTGTATCTATGTATGTATATAT